CAATAGAGGTTCCGGCGGCTGGAGAATTTGATTAGGAGACACACAGTAGTCGTGGAAAAGATATCTTGTGGTGGAAAACCATCTAACGACTCATCCACAGTGAATGAAACAATGGACACGAGCAGAAGATAGGGGCCCCATCCAAATCCTCATTCACGGTGGAGGAAACTTGTTATTCCTGTCTTTGCATGTGAAGAGCTTATGGGTGGACAAATGAGTGAGCGGTATTTTTTGGTTGAAGGAGATAATAGAAGAAGAAAGAATGCAAGCGGTGATGATTGCTTTGGAGGAAGGCATTAATTGGTTTCAATGGTGTGCAACATGTAACCCCAATCCCACGCGTGACGCTTTCAAAGTTGCGTAGTAGGAAGATTTCACCCAACTATGTTAAAAAATCCTTTTGGAAATTTTACGGTATAACACAACTGGTAGGTCGAGTTACAGAGAGCAATTTGACAATGTGGGATTCTTGAAGGGCATTGAACAAGATTACTTGATAGGTACTTGTTGTGGTCTATCAAAATATCATAAATTCTTTATATTAAATGAACAAGACAAACTAATCACATCCATGCATGCAAGCCACACACCTGAACCAGTGACGGGTTGAAAAGAACATCTGGAATCTTAAATCTGTCAGCTCCAATTTCAATTGTCCTGCATGATAAATAAACACATCATAAACAGCAATAGACAAAAAGTTACACTAAGAACCAGAAGTCAGCAAGTAGGCTAGAAGTAAAATGGTAGCATAGTAAATGAAAGAGATATTTTGAAAGATAAAACAACATTCATTTCATCCTCATCCATGTTTCAATGAACAAGAATAACACCGACTTACTGGCCATCAGGAAGCTCATACGAGGTCATTGGGATGTTTGAATATGCACTCTCTGTCAAATAAAGGAAAAATAAAGTTTTAATGTAAAGGACTATTGAACTGGTACAGCAAGTTTATTACTAAACCAGATGATAGAAAGAACATCATATGTGGCCTAAGTGAAAGGTCATGGATCAAGATGAACAAACTACATCAGAAGAGGCGTCACATGTCAAGTTATCTAAGAGGTCTACACAGAGAAAGGAGGACGAAGCAATAAAAGAATGCCACATAAGACTAGAACCTTTTCCCACATACCCATCAAAGAACAAAATACAAACACAGGAACAACAATGATTCAAACAGAGCATGTTCAAATATTCAAAAACTTATAAAAGTGTGCCAAAAACAAGGTAAACAAACCATCGTAAGGAGTATCTGGAGCACGGCAACACACATTCCTTGACATCACTAGCAATCACCCTCTGCCATGAGAGAACAACCAAAGATAAAGGAAATGCAGAAAGTTATGAGATATTACATCGTCATTCACCAGACCTGTGAATAGAGTTTGTAGCTTTCAGTTGTATTGCGAAAATCAAGATTACCGTCTGCAAAGGTTCAGAAAAAACATAAAAATGAGAAATAATCATTTATGCATTACGATCAGTGTGAAGATTCAATAGAACAGGACATGCCAAAAAACTAATTATGGTGCTAATGAAGTGAAACAACAGGCAATTTTGCTCACCATCATTTGTCCCAAAAATTCTACAAGTTGTTTTAAATATTCAATGAAATAACAACAGGTGCAAGGTTATAATGTAATTGAAATAAACAAAGTAAGAAAACTACAACTCACTCTTTCTTCTTTGTTCTGATCCTTAATTATATACCTAAAAACTAACACCATTCCCTCCTTTATGCACTTGAGAAAAATAGATAAAAGAAAAGAAAATGAATGAGAGGACGACTTTCCCTCTTTTATGTTCATTTATTTATAATTCAATGATTTAGTTAATTGAATTAGAGAAATGAGACTAAAGGGGAACTCACTGTTGGTAAGTCCCACATGACTAGAGATAAGACCAATTATAATATATAAGTGAGGTGCCAAACTCACCTTACAAGCCGGTTTGTGAGGATGAGTTAGGCTAAAAACTCACCTTTAATATGGTATCAGAGCCATAGAGTCTTCCTAGCGAGTTCTAAGTGGACATTCTATTCTTCTATTACACCCGCTATCGGGCCGTTATTCGGACCCCACCCAATTTCTACTATCACGACGAGATGTCTATACACTCGACGTGAAGGGGGTGATGTTGGAAGTCCAACACGACTAGAGATAAGGCCAAATTATAATATATAGTTGAGGGGCAAACCTCACCTTACAAGCCGGTTTGTGAGGATGAGTTAGGCTTACAAACTCACCTAATACTTCACCAATTCCTTGAGAAGCTACTTTAGATCCATTGGCTAAGGTTATAAAATGAGGTGTTTTAGGAAAGGAGATAGAAGAGAACAAAGAAATAATTCCAGAAATATAATGAGATGAACATGAATCAATTAACCATGAATTGACTCTCCACAAATTGTGAAATGCAAGTTGTTGTCAAACTAGGAGTTGTAGATTATTGTGCTAGGATGTTGGATTTCAACCTCAAATATGCTTTACACTCTTCATTAAAGAACTTTGGCCATAAACTTTGGATTGAAAATATAGGCTATCTTCTCAAGAAAGCCATGTAAGAGTAACAATTCTCTTGACCTGGGTGTGGCCCCATTCTTCTACAATATGTACATTGTGGATACCCCGGTAGACCTCCTTTGACGGCTGTCAAGCGACCTCTTCGTCTCCTTTTCCACAAATACAAATCAAGGCAAAAGACTCAACAGATTCTTGAATATTCTACTCTTAAGAGTTGGAACATGAAGATAGTGTGTCGTCAAGTTTTCCATAGAGGAAACTTCTTGTCCGATTAAAATTTGATCTCTAACACGATCAAAATTTTGATTCATTTCACAAGGATTGTTACCATGTAAACCTTACCCGACTTCAATTTTGTCTCTTCCCATTAGTCAACTTCCAAGAACATCTTCAATTCCTCAACTGTTTTGAGTTTCAGCAATAAAAGACATTGTCATTATTGTACTACTTAGAGAAGCCAATGATTTTGGATATCATTTGAAAAAATGTTTTTGGGCCCCTTTCCAAAAGGTGGTTACAAGTTTGAAAGACCTATAAGAGAGCTCAAAAATATTTGGATGCACAACCACCACGGTTGGATCACACTTTGTTAGGTTTATAGAGGAGGAGATTCATTGGAGGAGATTTATATTTGGATGCACAACCAACCACATAAGGGATTGACACCACTCTCAACCCAAACCTTAAGGCAATGGGTTAATGGGTCTTCATCCTTATATGGTACTCCATTTTCTCATTTCTACCCAATGTGAGACTTTAGACTCACACTTGGATTCCCAACATCTCCCCCTCAAGGCTGAGTCTCTTCCACATTGGTACCTCCCCCTTCAGCGGAACATTCCCAACCACGAATACCCCTTTTTGTATCGTCGTTCATCTTAACAAGAAACGCTTACTGGAACCCTTGCCAGAAGACTTTTCGATACAAGGACCATATGTGTACATTTTGAACCTAACTTGGCTAGCGATACCACTGTTATTTCATTGATATACGTCACATATGTTGTTTCCCAACAACCTTCTTGAGGAGCACCGGACCCAAGCGTCGGTGAACAAAAGTCCAGCGATAGACGATGACCAAATGGCAATTTCTTTGTCGAACATAGTCAGGCAGAGTGGGATCGAGTCCCTCTAATTCCAACTTAAAATAAAAAAATAATGAGTAGATTTTCTCTCTCTTAGGTTTCTCATATTTATAATTGACTTTGAAAATCATATACAATGTATGAAAGGAAAGAGAAGAGAAAAAGAAAAGACAGTACCTAGGAACTAGGTACACAACTCTTCAATAAATTATATTGAAGACAAATTATTCTAAATATACCTTAAGTTTAAAATTAATTTCCTAACTTGAGCAAACATTTGGTACAATTCAAAATTCTAGTGGATTAAACAAGAGGCAAATTATTCAGTTCAGGTCACTACCAGCAGTATACAGGAACTTACAAATTTTATCAAATTATATCCATAACTGAAAACAGTTCAAGAAGAATACTCAATTAAAAGAGACAATAAAAACCATAATTGCAACCATCCAGAAGTTCTTGAGGAACAAACAGTACCGATAATAACCAAGGAATGGAACTCGTCACGCTTAAGTTCAAATTTTAAGAGAACAATAGGAAAGAAAAGTCTGGATGCCTCACACTTTAATGATTGCAAGCAAGTTGAATAAAAAAATGTTATTCATAAATCATTAGGTTGAAAACACATTATACCTGAAACTCTCCAGGGCGTATTTCCTTTCTCCTAAAGGAATAACGTGGTTTCATCTGTGACAAAAAAAACAAACAGGGCAATTCAGGAGATGAAATCAGAGCATCTTTATTTTATATGATCACTGACAAATATAATAAGTAATGTTTACCACCCACCGTAATACCCTTGCTTTCCAAGCTTTTCATCAAGCAATCTGTTAAGAAATTCTCCTCCAATTGGGGGAAGTTGCCACAGCCTTATGTTGTAAACAAAATATACATATGAGCAGACAAAAAGACCCCAGTATTAGCCAAATCTCAAATATAAATGCTATAATGAAACCTAATTTGACATGTGTGTATGTCGCACAAACATAACAGAATGGCAGATATCATGCAAAAGATACATGGAAAAATATTAGTTTGTAAAATGCCTATGCAAGCAATAGTAGCTCACCTATCCATAGTCCTTCTCTCTTACAATTTTGATAGTAGTTGTAGTTCCATAAAACACAATCAAATGACTGAGTAACAATATAGAGACTATGGCCAACATATAAGAGCACCAGTTTATTCTTCAAGATTTCCTTTCATACATTTGATGTATATATTTCGCATTGTTAATCAAATAATCACATCATTTCAAATTTATCTATAACCCATGTAGTGTTAGGAGATCCTTTTCAAGTACCCACTTCATCCTTCAAGCCTTAAAACCTTTCTACAGAGTGGTGCATACAGTAAATTGGATTGATGCAGGTTCTTATAACAATATCAAAGTCAAATTTAATAAATTGGATAAAAAAACTAAATATTGAAATTCCAATGTGAATTTTATTGGATTCAATAATAAGGAATACCTTCTGAATAACATAACCATCGTGTACTGGTGCAATTGTAGTTGACCCTCCACCACTGAAAACAATGGAATAATGAAAAAAATGTTATGTTTCTGGCATGTTACTTAACATATTAGAAGTAATAATAAATATTGAACTTTAAGTTGCACTCTTTTTCCCACACCTTTTCAATTTTCTCAATTGAATACACTTAAAAGTTTTTTAATTTAGTCCACCCATTCCACTATTTTTAATGCAATATTCATTGCTTGTTACCAAACCCAAATGATTACTATAAAATGGTTGAGCAGGAAAACAAAAATCTTTAGACATGTTAACACATACATAACAGAGAAGCTTTCGAATTGTTATTTCTCAACTTAAGGTAGCATATTATTTATTTAACAATGATTTAGAATAAGTAAAACCCTGTTGGTATTTATTTCACACACTTAACTGTAATAATTGTAAACTTTCTATTCCAGAACTAAAACAAAAAAGTATAATTTCTTATGTGTCATTGTCAACTCTTGATTCAGTGATTTCATGCACGTGAAACTATCTTTATCTTGCTACTAAAGCGAAATAGCATGCTCTCTGAGGCTTTATATGACTACTGCTTCCATCAAGTATAAGGGAACACAGGCTGAAGAGGAACTTTAACTGTAAACGGTTGTAACAAACCAGACTAAAACTGATTGCATGGAATTGAGTGTCTAAACTACATTATTTGTTCTCTAATTCCAAATTCCTACTTTGGTCTTACTATAAATGGTAAAAGCAAGCCATGTAAGGTAGTTAAACAACACAAGGACAAATATAACTTAGGCCTTCCAAATATAATATTTTGAAAGGTAAGCAATTGTTAAACGAAAATGAAGGAAAACACCATTTTTCATAATGATACTGCCACAGAATAAGAACAAAACTACCATTGAATAACCTCATGATCTCTTACCCATCAACAACCAATGATGTAGCACGCCCTGATGCAAAGGAAGTCAGAACCTGTATGTGAACACCAGGAATAAACTTTCAGAACCTTTTCATTCTCACTCCACTACAAATATTATTTTATGAAGTAAGCGAAGCACTAACAGCATTCTTTGCCAAAAACAATGCAGGTTTTCTTGCCTGTTGTTTTGTTTTTGTTGATAGAGTATTGAATTTTGTTATGCTTTGAGTTCATAATGAAGTGGGCACTGGCATTTTCGTGTGGTGGTCGGCTACTACTCATTGATAGTGTAGTTGGGTGCATTTAAAAATTGTAGTTGATTGGAGGTATCTGGAAAACCGATGGGTAGTTTGCTTGTTGATAATGAATTGGTGGTTGTCTTTGGTGTGTGTGAACTTAGGTTGTTGGAGCAATTGATCAAATGGATGTTGATGAAGCAGATGATGATGCCGAGAAGAACTCTGCCTCAGTTGGGGAATCAAAGAATAGTCTTAAAAATGCTGATTCTGACAAGGCTAAGGGAAAGAGGAAATTGTTTGTAGGATCACAGTCCTTGGGCTACCGTAGAGATCATATGGAGGTAACCCTTTTGGTTTTCATCTTCTTAATTGGACTCGGATTAGTACTTTATTTTGAATATGAATGTTTGTATTTATTATATATTTTTGTGGTTGCAGGTGCGTCTCCATTTCAGGATTGAATTGTAGCTTACTGGGATATTGTTGATAGCATATGGGATCAGGCCTTCAGGTCAGTACTGATTTTGTGACACTATCTGAGATTGTTATTGTAAGGGTTGTTTTCCTTTCTTCCTTTGATTATTTTATTGGGCAGATATAGTTGAACTTGATAAGTTCATGTGATGTTCCTTTTTGATTATTTGCTGATTCCTCTCTAAAGCATTGGTCCAAATAATAGTTGATCTGTTACCTATATCTAAAGAACATAAATACACGAGAAAGCTCAGTGTTAATGGTGGCTAACAAATGTTTGATAGCAATGAAGATTATTTTCCAAACATTGATGGTCCTTACATAAATATTTATTATATTTTTACATTTATTTAGGTGTACAAGGCCTCACTCAGCCCTTCTACTTCATGTAAGGATTGGCAACACAGCATGAACACAGGGATAGTTAGCAAGAGTGAAGTTGGGAGGTTAAACTTGGAGATCACATCATACCACAAGTGGCACCTTTGGTATTTTGGATCTGTCTTAGAAAATAATGGGGGAAATTGAAGAGAAGTGAATATGAATCAAACTGAGTGAAGTTAACATATATATAATTTAAGGTCACATTCAAACTAAAAGAGAAAATTCTAATCAAATAGCTTATGGGCAATGAAGGGCTGTAATGTAGTGAATGCGGGCAACAAATTGCAAAAGATAATTGACAATACTCGCAGAGATGATAATGTGAGTTGCATGACAAAATAAAGAGTTGGAGTAGCACTGTTTTGGAGAAAGAGAAGATAGCCAACTAAAGGGTAGATGTACCATAAAAAGCTTCCTTAAAATGGATTTGTCAAAAACATTGTTTTAAAAATATAGTCTCTATATTTGTTTGAACCATGTATGCCAAAGTGCATGCTTAGACGGGATTGTTTTTAAAGAATCATAATTTGATAGATAGAAAAGGTGCTTCTATTACCAGTGTTAGATCAAGCACATACCATTAACTGAAATTCTATAGCTAATAGTTACGACGCAATGCTTTCTACATACGCAGCATAGTAGTTTAAAGTGCATTTGGATCGTGGACTTGACCCATCTTGACCCCTTAATGAGACAATGGGATGCACCTTGCAACAATTCCCTCCAATGATAATGAGCCCCAACTATGAAACCAATCTCTTTTGATTGTACTAGCCATACCTAGTCAAACTATGAGACGTTTGGTGCAGATAACTCTCCTTATCCCTAGCAACTATCTCTCTAGGAATTTACTCATGACCTTAACTTTGATACCAGCTTGTCTAGGATCCGAAGATTGCGCGCCGCTGGGATAGGGGAATTTCACTATGCCAATATAGCTAGTAGTTAGGGTGCGACTCTTTCTACATAAGAGAGCATAATAGGCTAAGTGCTACGATTTGATTATAACTTAGTTCGTATGCATTCTGGTATGAGACATTGGGGGGATGCATCTGTGCAAACATTAAGATATTATACTTCTTTTTGTTAGTTCTTTTCTAGTCTGTTTTGACAATTTTTTTGCATTTTTTTATTTTTATTATTACATATTTCATATACCTTAGGAATTATTTTATTTGTCACTGGCTGCACATTCTTTCTTTTTGGAAGAGAATGCCTATTGATTGGGCATGCTTTCTGTTTTTGGTAGGGAGTGCCTATTGATTGATCCTAAAGAGCATCCTATGCTCCTGGCAGAACCTTCTTCAAACTCTCAACAGCAGAGAGAAAGGTATTCTGATTATAATTTATTGTCTAGAATTATGAGCTCATCTTAAAGTGTCAGTACTAGCAATTTGGTTTTTTATTGTGCAGGACAGCGGAGGCTTATGTTTGAGAGTACAAAGC